CCCCCACCCAAAACCGCGTTATATTAACTAAGCATAAAGCTAATACAATGGGGCTAAGTTACATTCGCCAACTTACTGAATTTTCGATACCGCACATTATCCACCACAGCGATACCTCCATATTCATTGGAGGTAGTGGCAGTCACTTCCACACCCTCTTCCACAGTTCCAGCGCCACCCCCACTTCCGGCGAGAGCTGCTAATCCGGGTGCAGTGACGGTGGTTGTTCCACTGTTGTTGTTTTCACTGCTGTTTACCCCAGATCTGTTAGAACTGCGTTCCAGAACGAAGAGGCGCAGGTTCAACCAAAAGAACACCATGAAGAAGAGCTGTGAGTTAAAAGGAAGTGGTAGAATTAAGCAAACTTCCAGCTTAAAATATATTTTGGCCATTTTCAATACTCATAATGGCTTCACTAACTGTAGTTTCTGTGCCACCATGCGTACAGCAAGTCATAGATAACGAAATCTATGCATAGGTGATCAAGATATCGATTTTTCACAAGAAAGCCTTCAGATTGTTGTAAAGTGCCATTTTTCAAAAGATTTTGGGACTTATAAAAAGACCGGTCTGCCCAGCTATTGGAATCAGAAAATACTGAAATGGCTGAAAAAATGCAGAAATAAAGGATGTTCCTCAGTTCCTAGTCTTGGAAAAGTTTAAAAAGGTGGAACAGGGATAAAAAACAAAAGCGAATTCTAGACGAATCTCCCCTATTTTCTCCAAATTTCACCCTCCTCGAGTTAATAATTGAAGACCACTTCACAAAGCCCTGAGCGTAAACATTTTCGACATACGCTAGGACCTTCGGTAAGGCGGAAAGGAGCATTAACTGGTACCTAGAACTGAAAGAAAGCTTGATGGGACGATAACCTACAAACCACCCAACAGCAAAATTGCTTATTGTCAATTATCCCGGAGTGGTGTAAACTGCGAATTGAGACACTGGAAGACATGACCCCTTAATCATATTGCATTCAAGAAAAGAGAAACAAGCTTTAAGTGATAAAGTAAATAGTTTCCTGCACTTCATTCTCGCCCTTGAATAAGAGGAAGTGAAAGATAAGGCGATGCTCAAAATGATAGTCAAATTGAGCACAAGTAGAGAAAGAGCTAACCTGCAGAGAAAGCGGCCACACAGGTATGGGCCAGCGGTGTAAGCCGATTTCAGTGAGATTCAGGTTCCTATCGGGGATATAAGTTGGCAGCTCCGATTCGGTGAGATCGAAAGAGTAGATGTATTGCAAAATGATAATGACCATTCCATACGCCACAATAAGTGGACTGCAGTAGAGGCAAGCTAAGCGAGAGTTGGGAAGAATCCACAGGAAACACGCGGAGAGGAGGAGAATGAAAGACAACCAACTGCGAAATATCACACTCCAGGCCTAAAGAACAATGGAAGAGTTGAGGGAATTAGTAACTCGACGATGAAAGCGAGGAGGCCTGAATCCAAATTCTTACCATCATAGCGATAAAGGTGAGAATGTAGCTATTGCGGATGGCGGAATTGAGGAAACTAAGAAGAAGGGGTCGCTGGGTAAGAGGTGAAAAGGTTGCATCGTCATTGACAATGAAGTGACCATCGAAGGAAAATTTGTGACGATATCGAGCAGCCACCATGAATGGAAAGACATCATAGACGGGTTGAGACCGTCCAGTTAGTATACTCGCAGATACTGGACGTACAACGAGTGGGATTTCGGGCTCTCCGACGCGTATTGGTACCTAACAAAGAGAGGAAGGTCAGAGTGAAACTTTCATGCCTCTAAAAATATTCTTCGAACATTTAGGCGCACTTCACCATTTAAAATTAAACTGTTAATATGAGCTATCTCAATTTGGTTCAAAGGAAATTAGAGTGCAATCGTTCTAGAACGAGTTATTCTCAAGCATCTTGCAGGAAGGTCCCTCTTAAGCACTCAGAGTCCAAATGTCCACTTCTTTACAGGTTGCTAAGGGAAGACTTAAGCAAATCTTACTATGAGTTAAAGAGGTGTGCGATAGACTTACCTCCACGTGGTACACCCTGGGCAACGTATACTCGTACGGCAAAAAGTCTATTAATCGACAGTTGACTTCTGACTTCAAACTACCATCACCCCACTGTTTGTCTAATTCAACCACTTCAATAGTACTCATCTTACCTTTTCTCTGCCTTTGTGTCTGTCTGTCTCTTTTACATCTGTGAATCACTCTTCCGTTCCTGCCCAACCCCCCCCCCCCTCTCAAATTTTCTTCACTTTGATGCTCCTCCCCACTGTGAAGCCCAAAGTCAACTAAAGGGCTACTGACAACTATCAAAACGCCTACCATTCGAAATAAATAAATAAATAAATAAAACTCCGAGTTTAATAGGAGCTACAGATTTTAATATTAAGGAAGGGGAAAGTCATGGCTTGTTAAGCATATCCACTACAGGCCGTTTCAAAACTAATTTAATTAAATAAAAAAGAATTCGTTTTTTAGAGAAAACGGCAAACTACACGAGAGAAATAAACAGTATACATTAGGGCGTCTATTAATAAAATCATTAATTAATATACGAGGTGGATGCGATAAAGTGCATTAGACTCAAAAAGTGGCTCCATATGCATCCAACGAGAGGTTCAATGGTGCATAGCCGGAAATTAACACAAATTATGAAAGAACTTTAACAAAATGTTAATAAAAGGAGGAACTGAAGTTTATAAATAAATTTAATTAATAGAAATCAGCAAATGGGGAATAAGGAGTGGTTAAATGAATGGTAAAACGAATCGCCTATTTTTGCGTTAACATTTAATCGGATTTGACAACAATCACATTTTTGCCTTTTTAACTAAAGCTATTGATAAGAAGTTAATATCCTTCGGAAAAAATCAACCATCAGCCAAATTATCAATCTCCCCCCACCCCCTCCCCTCCCCAATGTTATTATTAAAGAAGTAAAAAGTGGTATCACAAGTACCCAACGTTCAAGCTGAGATTCAAAGAGGTTAGTAAATCAGTATGTGGGAGGTGGGAAGTTATTTAAAGGCTTGGAGCCTACGAGGGATAATTGTCCCAAGTCCCTTAAGGTGAAATCATTATATACAAAGTATATCTGGCCTTCAAAAGGTATATTTATCCCCTGTTTACCAAATATTTATTTATATCAAATGGCAGGCGATGATAGCTATCATTAGCCCTTTAGCTGACTTCAGGCTTCAGAAATAGCAGTACATTTATTTATATCAAATGGCAGGCTTTATGGAAACAAAATTTATTTATTTATTTCAAATGGCAGGCGTTTTGAAAGTTATCATTAGCCCTTTAGTTGACTTCGGCTTCAACAGAAGGGAGGAGCATTGTTATCATTAGCCCTTTAGTTGACTTCGGGCTTCACAGAGAAGGAGGAGCATCAAAGTGACAGGGAGAAAGAAGAGCGATTCACACATGTAATAGACAGACAGCTATCACACACCCCAGGGAGGAACATTAAAGTGAGAAAAATTCGACAGGGGAAATTTCACAGATGTAAAAGAGACAGACAGACAGACACAAAGGCATTAAAAAGGTAGATGTAACAGACAGACAGGCAGACACAAAGGCAGAGAAAAGGCTAGATGGGTACTGTGGAAGGGGTCGAATATGATATGCAGTGGGGTTATGGAAGTTTGAAGTCAGGGGTCAACTGCCGATTAATAGACTTTTTGCCGCATGAGTATACGTTGCCCAGAGTGCACCACGTGGAGGTAAGTCTTCAAAAGGTAAAATCAGGGAGATGCATTTGTATGGCATGCTGATTTCCACACAATAGGTAAAAAAACTTGACTAACTTCGAGAAAGTATCATCATCATCTTGGTAGAAAATACTTCTAACTTGGCAGTTCGAGTAGACTATGGGGCGGAAATGAGGGAATTGGCGCCATTAGTTTGGGAATTGGATTTAACCATACCTTTACAAACACCCCCATTATACAATCTGTTCAAATCTCAAAATTAACATGCAAAAACGTACTGATCACGTTAGAGTAAAACTTTGAACACCGCAAAAAAAGGTGACAAAGAACACGATAAACACTACGTCTGAGCAGATCAAATTCAACCAAAAACATGAGATCTTATGGTGTTTGAGAGAAATTTTTAATAACCTTTCGCATGATTGAGAAATAAGAGTAGTGGCAGTGTTGTGCTCTCTTAGTCAAACCTGTGAATGTAAACGACCACCTCACAGAGCGTATTTTAGCTTAAGACGGTGGCCGATGTGGAGATGAGATTGATCCAGCGACCTTATTTCAAACTAATTGGAATATACATCTGGCGAGCCTTATTGGTCTAGATAACAACAAGAAGGCAATGTATTAGCAGGGAATAATTCTATTAAATGAAATTCAAATCAATCCCATACACCAAAACTTATATACCAAGTCTAATTATTGATACAAACATATGATTTTAAATAAAAATGAATTTCAATACCGAAAAGCAACAATGAGAGGATAAGGGATGGTGGGGGAGGGGGGGTTGGAATGTGTCAGAAGACTAAACTTTAAATGCGGATTCCTCCATATTGATCACTTATAGGTCTTCGCGAGTCTAGAACCAACTTGCAGAGGTGATCGATCTTAGGGAGAGTCACCCGTCAGCTATAAATGGCAGCGCATATATATACATGTCTGTAAACACAAACACCTACGTGATGACCGTATGCACTGTGGCGAGTGTTAGATCGTTCATATGATCAAAACTGAATGCTACATAAGGAAACAGAGCAAAAATGATCAGGACTTTAATCAAATTAAAAGTGTTAAATGCATTTTTGCGCCAATACTTTCATTAACTATGACACATCTAGAAATATCCTAACCGTCGAGAATTGAAATTAAACGGAATAATGGCCAATGTTGCAAATTAAGGACAGTGTAAAACCGATAGAGCAAGTTTTGTTTTCTATGTTGGTGATAAATATTAAGAGCAATTAAAGTTTCTGCAGAAAGAAGGATGAGAAGTATACGCAAATAAACAACTCTATTGCGGCTACAATGTGACATTGTTGAGTGGACTGATACTTTTCATTGTATTTATCTGCCTTAACGTCGATTGCAGTCACTGTTTTCTGTTCTCCATATCGATCAATTTACCATTTATGCCCCACCCCCGCCCCGGTTCTTTTTTGAACCTGTCGCAGTCAAACCAAATGGGCTCAAAAAAACAATTCGTTGATCATCAATGCATCAATGATGAATCAGCGTTTCACACATCAAGCAGATTCCCTGTCGACGTTTTCTCGACAGGGGTGTGTGATAGACTTACCTCCACGTGGTGCACCCTGGTCAACGTATACTCATACGGCAAAAAAGTCTATTATTCGGCAGTTGACTTCCGACTTCAAAACACCATCACCTCACTGCATGTCATATTCGACTACTTCCACAGTACTCACCTCATCTTTTTCACTTTACCTTTGTGTCTCTCTCTTTTACATCTTTGAAATACTCTTCTGTTCCCCTCCCCCTCCCCCTCTCGACTTTTTTCACTTTGATGTTCCTTCCTCTCTGTGAAGCCTGAAGTCAACTAACGGGCTTATGATAACTATCAAAATGCCTGCCATTTGATATAAATAAACGTTTTCTCGACTGAGATGCCTGTCATGCAACCTCCCCCCCTCTCCCCCCCCCCCCCCCCCCCCCCCCCCACCTATCCCTTTCTACTGCCTGGTGTGTTGTTAAGAGCGAGTTTCTGCGTCAAAGGCACGAATTCTGCCGACACTTTTTTTGTTTGTGCTTGACAGAAAGCGAAAGATGCCTTGGCATCAACAAAATCCGATTAGTCTGAAAGATGATGCTCGCATATGCCTATATATTTTGAAATTTTAAATTTGAAGTGTGAAGCGCTCCTTACTCGCCTTTTTTCCATAAACGCGTTTCCTTTTGCTTCATTGGTGCACGATTTATTTGCGAAAAATGACATTTGTGCGAATGGAGATGGAATTTATGAAAAAAAAGGCTGAAAATAAAAGTAACTCCTGTCTTTATTCCCAGCTTCTGGTAACACGCTAGACACGCTAAGAGATGATTAACTCAAGATGAAATCAAACCAAAAATTGTTGTCTGTTTGTAATTGTGCAAAGTTTCCAATAATTTAGCAGACAATATACCGATATCTGCAGTGAATTAGATCAGTGAAGTATTTGGTCAACTGAGGACTTTTAGGCGATTAATCACAGCAACTAGAAAAGACCTTACGGCACTGATTGTCCCTAAAATTGATCGTGTGTGCACACCTTTTTAAATGAGGTTGATTTTCAAGAACATGTAAAGGGACTAAGAAGATGACCAACTTCAAAATGAACTGGATATTGCCAAATGCACTTCAGCATAAACTACCGTAAGCCCTCGTTTCTATATACAAATACCAATGTTTTAAAGGAGGGACGTGTGCGACAGAATTACCTCCACGTGGTGCACCCTGGCCAACGTATACTTATACGGCAAAACAAAGTCTATTTAACCGGCAGTGGACTTCTCACTTCCAACTACAATGACCCCGCAGTAGGTCAAATTCGACCAGTTCAACAGTACTCATCTTACCGTTTCTCTGCATTTGTGTCCACCTGTCTCTTTACATTTATGAATCAGTCATCTCGAATTTTACCCACTATGATGTCCCCCCCCTCCCCCAACTGTAAAATCCGAAGTCAGCTTAAGGGCTAATAATAGCTATCAAAACGCCTGCCATTTGAAATGAATAAATGGTTTAGATGAACTACGAGGAAAAATTTAAGCAGATCGTCGACAATCAAGACAAAAAATGTTCATAAGACACATCACCTTCCAAAGAAGCGGAAATATATTTTCAAGGATATTTGAATGCGAATCATTCGATTGTGCTTTTTAATGCCCCAAAAGTGCATTTCCAGAGAAGTATAAATAAACGGGGAAGGATAACTTCAAGCCAATCAGCTCTTTCACAGTCAAAAAAAATCATTGCGTAGCTAGTAAATACGATCCGGAAGTGATTCGAGGTTAGCAGTAATTAAATGAGCAAATAGAGGCGCATTAAAATCAAAATTAAGTTCAAGCGAACACATATATAAAGAAAAAAACGATTTTGATGTACGAAAAATCCCCCCGCCCTGAAAGTACACATACACAAATCGAGAAGTAATACCGAAAATTTGCTATCATTCAATTTGCCAGCATTAATTGTGGAGAGCAGGAACCCTGTCTTCTTGTATAAACACCCACTCAGCCATCTATTAACAGCAGGAGGGTTCTATTAAGAATTCCGGTTGAATAATTTCAACACCGATGAACTAATTTCACACATTTCGTCTCCTGTGCACTAACAGGCAGATGAAGTAATTACTTCGAGAGAAGTCACCCACCGACTACCTACTACTACTCAGCGAATTCTCAATGGGTTCTCTTTTCACCAACATCAACAAATTTGACTTATCGTGCTGGGTGGGGGGGAGGGGGGGGGGTTTGTGGAGTAGAAGCACTTAACGAGCCAGTCGCGAATGCTACCCCCCTTCAATATATCATTGACATAATATTTATAAAATGAGGTGTGCGATAGACTTACCTCCACGTGGTGCACCCTGGGCAACGTATACTCATACGGCAAAAAAAGTCTATTATTCGGAAGTTGACTTCTGACTTCAAACTACCATGATCCCACTGTATGTCATATTCGATCACTTCCACCATACTTATCCTACCTTTACTCTGCCTTCGTGTCTGTCTGTCTTTTTAACATCTTTAAACACTCTTCTGTTCACTCCCCCCCCCCCTAGACTTTCTTCGACTTGATGTTCCTCTTCCTCTGTGAAGTCTGAAGTCAACTAAAGGGCTAATGATAACTATCATAAAGCCTGCCATTTGATATAAATATTTATGAAATAGCTCTTTTCTCCAGATACCCACAATTGCAAAAGTCATTTAATTAATAAAAAAAATAATAAAAAGACTGCTGACAGTGGAGAGAGTAAATAATAGGCAAGACTTTAATCATATTTACGCTTAAATTATTTTTTTTTTGCCTTTTCCACATACGAAAAAAATTCTATTTAGGACTCAAGGATAGAAATTGATGCAGTGGTCTAATTGATAAATAACGAAGCAAAACAAAAGTTAGCCTAAATAGTGTGTAGATGATTATTTCTGGGATGAGGGTTTAAAATAAATAAATAAAAATAAATTTAAGAAAAAAGGGATGAGGGGCGTGGAAGGTATAAGAAAACGAAAAAGAAAAGTCATGAAAAGCGATGTGCCAATCTAATTGGTCATGTTGAATTAGAGAGATGCTTTAACCTCAGAAGTTGGTACATTAGTGGGCATTAATAAAATACGAAACCATGACAAATTTGTAAACCCACTTAAGACAAATTGACATTGACTCATTAAGCAAGGAAAAAGACAAGATACCCATAATTCGATTTTACCAAAAATTTCAATGGGTAGAAAAGCTACCACCAATTATTAGTTGAAATATGCCAAACTTAGATCAATCTCCGATAAAATGTTCAATCACCAATGCTCCAATACCTGAAGTACATGCATTTGCCCGATAAGATAAGCGTATGGAGGTCTAGCAACGAGAAGTAATTTTGAATTTGAAAATGAACATCAAATTTAGTAGGAAGTTAATTTGACAATAGTGCTCAGCAGTTCATGTTCAATTTACTTAATGATAATATTCGCATTAAAATAGCATTTGACTGCATTATTGAACAATTAACAGGCCACTGAAAAGGTATATTAGTCCCTAATCTACTATAATTGCAGGTATTTCTGAAATGCCAAAGCATTTTCGTAATGTAAAGATCTCATTATACATTTCAAATTCAGTGAAGGGAAATGACGTGTAAATACTTCTCTGAGGTAGGAATACTGCATCTCGAGGCTTTATGCGTTGACATGAAAACCGTCCACGACTTGCAAAAAAAACAGCAATAAAAAAATCCAACATCAACATCTTATTGAAAATGAGTTTATATCAGGCAGGCAAGTGTCCAAGTTACCGAGAGATCTACAGCTCGAATGACTTATGAGAACGCGACTCAAAATATTCAATCGGAATAAAAACACCCAGTCTCCGATTTCCACTACCTGCTAATGATGCCGTAGCATGCTCAAAATGTAATGAAAATGAGCACATTTAGTTTCACTACTATTGGCAAAAGTTATTCACAACTGAGGTAGAAGCTACACTAAATTATTAGGAAACAAATCTCCAAGCTAATTAGTTTAGGAAAACTGGTTTTTTTTGCGTCATTAACAATTTTCCTTTCACTTACAATAGTTTCAGTAGTGGGCGGATCATCCAGATCGATAAGTGGTAGATTTCCATTTGCCTGTTCACTATGAGATCTACGAGAGTCAACCAGAATAACATTATTTCCAGCACTTTGATTGGTATTTTGCAATAGCGGTTCATTCAAACTGGTAGACGGTTCATGATGATTATTATCATCCATTGAATTCTGATCCCTCTGTTGCTGAAGTAGTGAATGCCGACTTGACGGGGAAGAGAGATTCAAATTTCGAAGAAGAATCCATTTTGGAACTCCTCCGTGCAAATCAGCTTCATCACTTGCAACTAATTCCACTGCAACTGAGAGATAGACAAAAAGGGTCATTAGAGGAGCGAAGAAGACAAAGAGAGGCTTATCAGAGGGGAAGATAATTTCTCCAGGGCATGTGCAATCAGATCTAAGTATATAATTTAATCCCAAGAGTCGAGCAGTGAAAGATCCGTCTTGAAGAATAAGTTGTGCGAACTGGAATTGGTAGAGATAGAGAAGACATAAGTGGAAAGCACTGTAGATTAGGAGGGTAATACGTGACCAGACTAATTTGCGATAGTAAACAGTCTTGCAAGATGACCAGTAAGTGCAAGTGAAGTAGAAACCGATGAGATAGAAAGCGTAAAGGAGAGAGGGAACAATTAACCCTGCTGCCCCCACTAAAACAACAGTTGTAAGATTGAGCATCCAGATGTTGGGAAATGCAACCGTAGCAACAGGGGGAGGGGATCTTCCAACTCGTGGGACTTCTGGTGGTTGTATGAATCCTGTTGAGAGTTCGGATTCTGGAGGAATGGTTTCAGTTTGCTCTTCAATCGGTTCTTCAGGAATTGCACGGCGTGCTTGAAAGATTTGTTGTTTTTCCCAACGAGATAGATAAGCAAGACCCAGAATCGAAATAAGAAGAACCACGGGGTCTGGAAAAACTAAGCGCATAGCACGATAAACTTCCATATCGAGTCTAAAAAGAAGCTCGGTCATAAGAAAATTATCAAAACCCACTTTTGAACACCAACCGCTGATATGATGCTATACTCAAATGTACAATTTGAAAGAATTTCATTGAAAGACGGTTTTATGGTTAACAACAGATAGAGGATAGGATGCGAAAGTGAAAATGCAGCACTTGTTGTCACCAAAGTGACCAAATAGATTTTGAGACCAACTAAAACTAAGACTAATTTAAATA